TTTTAGCTCAGCTATTATTTTATGTATATTTCTGCTTGGTATATATTGGGGTCTTAAGAAAAAAAAACAGAAGAAAAATAAAGTAGAACCCATAACCTCTGCCTACCTCTGCACTAGGTAATTTATATCCATAGGCACAATGACTCTTCAGATCAGGAAATATGCTAAAATAAATAAAGCAAATAAGATGGTTGTCAAGAATGGACATGTCTGACATCAAGGCATCCTATTATGTAAGGCAGCAATATTCCTACACCAGGATTTTGGTGGGGAGGGGATCATTTAAAGTCTATCTTACCTTTAGGTGAGATGTGCCTCCAGGTGATTGTCGGATCTGGCCTGCCTGTAGCTATGCAGGTGAGGCTTATGTTGCCACCTTCATTGATTGAGATGTCTGAAGAGATCTCAATAATCTTGGGAGGTACTGCAGGGACAAGGAAAGGAAGAAAGTCAGCTAATTAAATGAGCCGGTTATTGTTTCTGAAAATTCTTTGGGAGAGGCCACAACTCAGTAGCAAGATACAGGATTTCCATACAGAATGTGCTATTTGACACCTTAGCTTCCTCAATTTTTGCAGGAGAATTTCTGAACAGGAACTATGGAGAACAATGTTCTGTCAATTCTCACAATGTTGGACTAAATAGACCAGTGATTCAACTCAATATAATGGACCATTCATAATGGGTTTATTGAACAACAGTAGAGATTAGTTTCCAGCAGAGGGATAACCAACAGAAAATCTTGTAAGCTTGATCTGGGCCCCAAAGCAATTCAGTCAAGTCTTGCAAGTGTCATCAAGTTTCATGCAAGATGTAATAACATTTTTGTTCATAGCTTTATCCATATCTGTTTTTATAGAAGCTTAAGAAGAGGTAGAGGCATTCTTCATACTAGCCTTTTAAGGTATATTTGAATGTTATCATCTAACCATGCAGTCAAAAATGCCTCAAAAGGATGGATGGATGGGTGGATGGATGGGTGGGTGGGTGGATGGCAAGCCAGCCCCCTGCTTATAAGTTCTAAGTATCTTTTATTGTGTAATTGGATCAGTGCATTCAAAAGTTTGAATTGTATACCAATAATATTGTCCCAGACCACATGGTTTGAGGGAATATACCTAGCAATGTAGTTAAACTCTCCTTATGAAGATATGTGCCAAAGGATAAGAAGTAGTCCCATCTCTCCCTCATGTCCAGCATATATTAATCTGTCCTTGGCATACTATTTGATCAGGCCCATCATGGATTTAACCTTTTCAAACCCTATGAAGCCTTGGTGTTTATATACCTCTTCCCAGTTGATCTAGCTATGACTTCAGGCACAGTTTAAATGAACGGAGCCACATCTTGCTTACATCATGATATCTGTTTACCTGACATAGGAGCCATTGGCTGAGAGACAACTCATATATCTGTCTCTATGTGTTAACTAGCATATACCAAAAGACCATATCATTGTCTCTATATGCATTATGTTGTGGGACTAACAAACACAACATGACATTGCAACAGTCCAGTGCCAAAGCACCAACTTAAACATAAAACACAGCATTGATTGATTGATTGATTGATTAAAGTAACAAAAGGCCTAGTAAAAAGCACCTTAACAAAAGAAGCAAGAAGTAGAAAACACGTTGATGCCAAATCATTTTCAAACTCTACTATCTTTGGTGAACAAAATTAATACTACCCAACAAGAGTTATTTGGCAGGAATTTTGCCCTTGGATGTGATTTAAAATTTCAAGTACAGAGAGCAACTTCCATGTTGTATTTTTCTCATTTTTCCCCCCTGCTGTATTTGTACAAAGTTAGGTAATTCAGGTGAAACCTGTGACCAAAGAAAATCCATAGATTTGGCACCTCAGCCTCAAAAGGAAGGATCCTCCACAGTTTAACATTTTGGGATCTGCTTTCTGCAATTCCTTCCCTACCAGCCCATCCATATGCCAATCACCAGAGCAGGCTTTTCCAAGGGAGCTGGATGAATGTAGAATGGATGCAGAGGCCTTGCATTCATTGCTTCTGACACAAGGTAAGTAATTTATTGATCTGTAAAGCACTCTGAGACACTCAGGAAAGGATTATGTCATGCCAACACTTTGCAATAAAATAAAAAATGATGGACTTTTCTGTGAACATGAGACATGATTTAGGGTTTGTAGCTGGAAGTGTAGTTAAAGTACATTTTAAGTGGAAATCAAGGTAAGTAATGAATTACCCTATGTCTGGAAAGGCTACTGGGAGTTCATTTTCTTGGCTTCTGACTCAAGAGCTAATATTCTAACTGTACACTAGAGGACAACAGAGGACTAAGCTGAAGTTAATAGAATGGGCTTAGGTAGGGAACAGGGCAAAATATTAATTAAGACATGAATATTGATTTGTGCTAACACCTGACTCCACTGCAAGGTAACCAAAGTAGGACACTGAAAGAGTAGTATATGAAATAAATGTCCCAGCATGAGTTTATAGAAGCTGACATATAGGATCCTCAATTGCCCATATGGAAGAAATAAGAGCCTTTGAAGAAAGACTACAAAGAGACCTGTAGCATCTTGAAGGCTAGTTGATTTATTATTGTGTAAGCTGTACTTCCTAGTTTATTTTATGAGCCATAAAAACCTATGCAAGAATGAATTTGTCTTGAAGGTATCATAGGTGTTGTGCACATTTCAGATGGACATAGGGTGGGGCAACTATAGGAACAGGGGCAACATGACATGGTAGGCTCACAGCTAGTGAACATGGGCAAAGATGGACCCAGTTCTGTGGCTGAAATAAAATCAGAGGATAAGAAGGTATTACAGGATTCTTTCTGCCCTCCTCTTCCAGGCCCTACAGAACACGGAAAAATGAAAGTACTTGAAGCAAGATGGAGCTAGCACCTTAGCCAAAGGTCTTGCAGGATAAGGAAGTACTCCACAGGTTCAAGAGATTAACATCTGGACTCCTAGGGAAACACTTTGCCTCTGCCATACAGTTTCAAAGTTGCCAGAAAATAAAATCCTTGGCTGGGTTATGTTGGCTGGGATCTGAAGGAATATATGTATAGATCAGTCTATATTTAGAGTTAGTCACATGTTAGCAGCTAGAAATTTGTAGCTGATCACAAAGAGCTAAGTAGGATTGGAGCTGGTTAATCCTTTGATGTGAGATCATCAGGAAATTGCAGGGCTGCAAGCTAAGCTGGGAAGTTGAAAAAAAATAATAACAGAATAAAGCAATGGCAAACCTCCTTTGTACTGCTGCCAAGAAAACCACATGGACCTGCTGAATTCAACTCAAAGGCAACTTTATCAATATTTGATTTGTATCAAAGGTCCACATAATAACAATGGTAATTTTCATATATCATTTTTCCTACTATAGCCCCTTTTAAACTAAAATTTTCCCTATATGCACACAGTTCTTCCAAATCAATGCAACTTGGTAACCAGTCTTTGAAGGCCATCAACTCTGTTGTGATAGATTCTGTTTCAGCCTACTGCACTTAGTGTTTGAAAAGAAATCTGTCCTCAAAATATCTTCATCTAATTTTGGCTAATTTTAAGGATCTAAGAGTTTCCTAAAGATTTGTTGTACTTCTAAAAATGTTGAGCTCCTCCACCCCCCACATTGGTTGTTTTCTCTTCCTTGTATGGGGATGATGGTGGTTCGGTTAAATGAAACCAAAATGATCTTTCTTTGATTCTGAGAGATAGACAAATACTACTTGCTTTGCACCTATGGATTCCCAGTTGTTGTCAAGATAGGACAAAATGGTACAAGGTACCTCAAAATGTAATAGTAATCAAACGTTGCCTTTCAGTGTTGTAAGGAATGACTACCTTCAATTTAATATTTTTACTGTTCTCTGTCATGTAACCCAGAGTAGTTTAAAAACTAAATCAGTGTGTCATGAACCCTCATCAGCACAGATTACACTCCCCCCATTAATCAACTATGTTTCCTGATTGAACCAATTCAAAGTTACAACCTTAATTGATACAATTTGCATCTGAAGGAAAATAGAAGTTGGGGAAGAACTGTTTTATTGCCTTATAATTACAGGTGTCCTGTATTTAATGGAATATTTATTTTAAAATAACAGCAGCCCATGATCCTTCAGCAGCAGGAGAATCAAATCACCCTTCAAAGCAAAGGGTGAGGAGATGAAATTGCTGAACTCCCCCAAATGAAGCACAAACACAATCTCAAAACTCGGCATTGTTAATTTGCTATACATCCATTTATTGCATGTGGTTTCTTGAGGGGAAAAAAAAAAGCCTTAAAAATTCAACACAAATTAGAGAAAGCATCAGCTGACAAATGATATGAAGGAGTCCAAAGTGTGGCACTGTTTCCATGGACAAAAAGGACAGAGTGGAGGTTCCAGCTTTCATGACAAAATTATTTAAACTCTCCTTTCCTCCCTTCCTTGATCTTCCCTTGAAAAGGCGCTGAAGAAACGTCAGCTGTGATAATCAATTAATTATTATGAACTGGCCATCACTGGGTTCCATTCAAACCATGCAGAGATGTGGAACTTGAAAAGGTTTGCATCTATCAGTGTCAAAAGTGAAAAAGGAGCAATGACATTGGGCCAATGTGGTGACAGAACAGGAATGACAGAAGCAAAGCCTGCCATTAGTTACCCTTTTAATTTAAACATGGGAGCCTAGGATTTAACATGACAGTTATTATATGCTAATTAAAAGGCTTGAATAATTAATCAAATGAATTATTTAAAGTGCCTTCCCTGCAACGTAACAGGTATTAATAGGAGATTTCTACAATGCAAGGGGAACAGAAGCATAATAAATAAGTTCCAATAAATATAAGCCAGATATTATTTAAAAGTTAGCTGTGATCTTGCCCCAGCTACATCAAAATGTTTTATCAAGATGCTGGCATTTCTGAAGAACAGGTGGTAGTAGTGTGACCTCAACCTGAGCAGGGAAATATAAAGGGAAACTGTCCTCGGTGGGAAAAGTAATGGTAAGTGGAAGATATCAATCAATCAATCAATCAATCATTCTTGCTGTCCCTATTGGGAATTCCTACCTGCCCTACAATCTTGTTCTTGCCACATTTCTCTTGCTTGGAGATGATTAAACATGGCAGCCATGTAGCAGGCTGCTCTAGTGACAAAAGCAGAGATTTCCCTTGAGTGGGATCTGTTTTTTTCTCAGATCTCATTTACTTCTCTATGAAAAGGATAGCAAAATATCCTTGCATTGTTCAAAGTTGATTATCATCTTTAGGAGGGCTCAGCAAATAATGGTCCCTGGCACCATTCATCCCTGCAGATAAGCTCTAAAACTTTGGGCTCCAGATTTGTGATAGCTGTTCCAAATTCAGAGCATTTAAATGGATGAAAGAGCACACGATGGGAGAAAACTCTTGTCTGAAGACTTGGGAGAGGTGCTGCTAATCAGGGCATA